AGGGATGGATGTTGAAGCCGTTGCTCAGCTCTACACACAAATGACATTTAATATGAGTCAGATGAAAAAAAAGTGCTCTTTATCTTATTCTGTCTGCAAAAGCAGCCTTCATTCAACAAGTTGCTATCTCATATGTGTATTTCTCTGGAAGAAACAGGTCAATTTTAATGAGCTCAAGCTCTGTTTATGAAATTAGACTTGTCCCCTAGACAGACCCCAGAGATCTGCAGACAGTAGAGATGGGCTCTGTAAAGGTCAGGTTGTTTTCTTTCTCATGATTATTTTCATTTTTTCCTGACCTAGGCTAATCATTGATGTGATTTGGAATCTCTCGTTTTGGTATTTAGGATTGTTGTTCATTATTGTTCAAGTTTTTGGTGAGTTTACTGTAGAACTTACTAGCCACACACTTTTTAGGGTTTTTGACATTGTTGTGTGTAATGCAATACCATTATTTACTATCATTAAATTACTTTTCCTTTGAAAAAGTACAGTAAGGGATTACTCTTAATTTTCCTTTAATTCCATTAAATACTTTATACTCTATGTAGAACAATTTTATATATAAAATAATAGTGAATATAACATCAATATTTAAATGAATATTAAATTAAAATGATGTAACCTTCTTCCTTTAAATATTTTGGTCAGTTCAAGAATAATCTATGCCATTTTAAATTATTTATTTGAAAGAATTAAAAGAGCAGTTTCGTGTCCATCACTGCTAAACTGGTCAAGGTTGATATGGGATAGTACTGTATATAGAAAGTAATAAGTTATGTGATATTTTTTAGAGAGATTAAATAGTTCAATAATCGAATTACACAGTTGAAGACGTAATTAGTAGCTATTCATTAAGTAGTTTTAGTAACTTAGTAACACTGGGTTTTGGATGAGTTCATCCAAATTCATCTAATTCACGTTTATTTTCTCCACGAAGTTCTAAGCCTTGAAACCTAGCCATCTCTGGTGGATAAAAAAAAATGAAATATTATTTGTTTAACAACATTTTAATAAATTGGAGGGTCTTTGTACCATATGTACCGTATGTTAATAATTGTGACTTCAGTTGCAATCATGCATGTCCTCCCATAGGACATTTAAAAATAAATGTTTTATGTAAATAATGTAATTTTGATCATTAAATTGATAAAAAGTGACAGTAAAGATGATATTACTGAAGATTCATATAAATGCTATTCTTTTTTAACTTGCTAATTATAAAATAATTCCTAAAAGAAATGATCACATTTTCCAAATAAATATTAAGTAATACACAGTAGTGAATATCGCAGTATTTATTGCATTGTTGTGCTGTGTTATTTCCTAGTTAGAAGTTTGATAGAAATTTCAATAGTTTGTGAATTCAATAGTTTGTGATTTAGTGAGATTCACATCATCACTGCATTGTCAACTTTAGTGTCGTTTCCATGGTAACAGTGGATTTCACTTAAACTAATTCGGATTTTCTAAAAAAGGAATCGGACTAATGGCTTCTATATACTGTAGGCACACGCTAGCACTTAAACTCTGAGTTATATTAGGGGTGTCTTGAAATATTTATTAGGTATTGTTGAAAATCATTTTCACTATGGGGATTCTGACTGGCATCTTCACTTCTGGAAGCCAGCCATTGAGCCCCATTGTATGGACGTGTCTTTCTAGAGGTGATGTGGTTACTTGACATCAGTGTATGCCATTAGCTTATTGAACTTTGTCGATTGCTGCATTCATGTCTGCTTTTCGTACATCTGTTCCATCAATGCATCCTGACTTTGTGAATGCTGAAACATATGCCTCAACGATTTCAAACCTTTACTGATATTCATGTTGGTATTTTATCTATGTATCCCTAGCATCCATCTCTCTACATAACCAGCTTTTACCTCAGGCCCTCTCTACCAATAAGTCAATATGTGACCGACCTGATTGAACAAAATCTCAACAGATTGGATCTGCATGCTCTGCTGTTTAGGCAGCTCTGGGTTTTAATGCAGTTATGAAGGCAATTGGCTGCAGCCAGGTTGTATATTTCAAATTGTAATAAAGAATGGACAGGCCGGGTGCATACCACAGCTTTTTAAGTCTAGCAGCCATTACGGCTTGCGGGAAGTCATTTAAACTGCAGAATAACTCACTTTGATAACCTGTGCTGCTGTTTATCAACCCAGCATTTGTTAGTGTCTCAAGGAGGGTCCAAAAGTGCAACATTCACTCAGGCATGCAGAAAAATAGAACAAATATACTGTAGGATACTTAAAACATTGTGATTCACATCTAACCTGCTTTAGGTCAGGTAAGAATGGGGCATTAATTTATTCCCTGGATCATAGATGGCACACAATCTCATCTCAACATTTTTTATGAAATAGCTACACTATTTTTAATTTGGTCATTTCACCTGAATATCAACATTTGTGAAGTAATAAATTATATGAATGAATGAATTATAAGTTCATAAAGATATTGTCTTCGTCACATGCGCTTTAGATGTTATTTTGTGTCTAATTTTTTTCTTATTTTTTTAGATGTGATTTTGTATCTTATTTTTTGTCTTATTTGATGTCTATTTTATAGCAAAAACTTTATAATCTATTTCACTTTTACAGATCAACAAATCTCAGTAGTCTATATAGTCTTAATGTAGGAGCGAAAAGGAATGAACGCACAGCGCGAGCGTCTCTCTGTCCGCGCATTTAATATTTAAACAGTTGTTGTGCAGTTTACAGACACTATTCAATAACGCGACTAGAACAAAACACTTAAGAATAAATGACTTACATCAGCTGAATCAGTGCTCCTCGAAATGAAACAGGTAACTGAGGTAACTTTTCTAGGATTATTATGACAGTATTATTCCTCACAGCACAGCAACACAAGGTAAAGGTTAGATTTATGATAAACTGGATGTTTTATCCAGCTGATGTGGGTGTTTTCATGGCTTGTCTCAACATTAGCGTTTGTCGGTGGGGTCACATTAACACGTCATACACTAGAATTAGGTGAAAGGAAAAAGGCTGACATCTCTCTTTTCATACAGATTACATCAACTGAGAATAGTTGCTTTTTATAAAAATTATTTAGTTTAAAGCTGCAATCCACAGTTTTTCCTCTTTGTCACCATCTCTGTTCGAAATCTCCCTCTCATAGCTAGAATAAAATAATTCATATTTACCATAATAGCAAAACGAAAAAAGATAAAAAAAAGCCACAACAAAGGAAACTCTATAACTGTGTGAATTAAGCGAACAAGTGTGCTACTGTAAAGGCCATTGCACAATGAGTACAAAATTTTCGGATGCATTTTTTCGTGTTCTATTTATTAAACCTTTGCGGAAAAAAACGCAAAATACAAAATTAATTCGTCAAGCAGTGATTGTGTTACCCTCTCTCTTATTGAAAAGAGAGGAAACGTATGCATCCATCCAATCCTGAAATTGCGCCGAGAGGAAGCACCTCCTTATCAAGGAGTTGTGATTCAGAATGAAATTTACTTCAGAATGTCAGTGGAAAAATTTGATGCTGGAGCCACATTTTAAAAACAAGACCACCAATTTCCGTGAACCAATCGATTCTGAACAGAGACTGGCAGTATGTCTAAGGTATGGAGACACACTCACACACACGCACGCACGCACGCGGCCCGGTAGAAGCGCTGGGCAGACAGAACAGCTGTATATAGGCTGTTATATATTGTACCAAAATAATACATTAGTTATCGAATTGGCTGCTCAATCACACCTTTTAATCGATCCGAAATTTCAATCTGATTGAAAGGGGAGGTTTGTTCCTTTCATAATCCAATCGAGAGAAGAGAACATAAACACTTGATCGAATTGAAAACCGGAACTGAAAGCTCTGCGCATATGTGCAATGATGTGCGGAACGAACTCCAGCCGGCCCTGAGTCATCAAAAAACCTCTCAAAATGCTGGCTGTGGATGCGAAAAACGCAGAAAATCGAACCTGATCCGAATTTTTTATGACGGACGAAAGTTTCGGAGGCGGTATGCAAGCGTGATTGACATAACGTGAGGTCGAATTTTTTTTTTAACGTACGAAAATTTCAGATGCGAATTTCGGACACATTGCATTGTGTGCAATGGCCTTTACACGATTGAACAATTAAAATGTCTTACCTGTCCAATAGAATAAAGCCATCTCTGCGTCCGTTTTGAACCCCTTCATATCACAGAGTTCAAAAGCCCTGCCGATGTTTATCCTTGTTTTTGCGTGGCCCGGTCCCAGTCTCTTTTTTTCTCTACCCACTCCGAAGTCTGAATTCTTTTGGGTTTTACAACTGGTAAATCTCCAGTCACTGGTGATTGTCGTTTGAACCGTTCTGGATCAACCATAAGTTTATTAATTATTTGAAGTTGAAAAGTTGTGAGAAAAGGCTATACATTTCCACCTCCAACATCCTCACACGCAATATAACCTACTACCCGGGACTCCTTCTTTATGTGTACAGATGTGACGTAATGACGCAACAACATGCTCGAATTTCCTGCGTAAATCCACCAGTACCACTGGAATTAAAATCATTATCAGAAGGGAGAACACGCATCATGTTTAATTTCTTTATTTTACGAAAAACACAACATTTTGTTTTTATTCTTAGTGTACACAAATAAAAGAAGACATTTAACAGTTTTGAATGATGTATAACACTTACCTGTATGACAAAAATAGACAGAGTTATTTGCACTGATAAGAAAAAAATCGATTGCCGACCCCAGGGCGTTATCTCACTCGCTGATGCGTCAACCTCCTGCAGTGCACATGCTTAACTTGAATCTAAATATGAAAGTAAATGCACATTGATCTTTAGAGGGGCATCTTAACCTTACTATTTGCATTTTCTATTCCTAGTTTTCCTGTTTGCCTTTGGGACATTGTATGTCATTTGACTTAGCTCAGCCCTCTACAACCGATCAATAGCATCCTCACTTTGAGCAAAAATAGTTGATTGAAGTGTCCTCTTTTTGTTCTCTTTTCCAGGAAACCCCTTCGAAAAGAAGAGAACGGCACAAGCCGAGGGGAGTATGCCATGAGCTCACGCTGTAAACAGCAGGTAGTGGAAACCAATAACACTGGAGTATAGTGGCCATGCTACAGCAAGGCATGTACAGCTGAACATTCTGTTCCCTACTGCAACACCGTCTCTCTGTTTGGGCTTATGAGAAGGACGCAAGGTATATTACGAATTTAAAAACTGTAAACCGCATGGCTGCCCTTCTTGGGACATAGAACGATGTTTAAAGAAAAAACTGCAAGTATAAGCAGGTTTTGAGGAGACTTGGAAACTCTTAGCAATGTTGGCAGCTGCACGAGTATCACAAGACTCAACCTGATGGCAATATACAACACCAACAAATAAAATAAACGCATGCACTTTCTGTTGAATGCAATGATGTTTTTGAATTCCTGTCTTCTTTTGTATTTAACTCTGTCTCTGCAGTGTCCCTCATTGAACATTAAGGGTTCTCTCACCTCATGTAGATTGTGTAAATGTGTTGAATGGATAAATGACGCATTGGCCCCATTGTTTTGAGAGAGTCTGTCGGAGCGTCCAAATGGATTGGTTCATCCTACACTTGAAGTGTACCAAATATACAATAGAGAACAAGAAAACATCCATAAATTTGTTGCGGTTTGTGTTACTATGCAATTGGATAGGATAGAGATTTTGAGGTGCATGCTGATAATACAAAAACACAATGCTAGCGTTAGCATTGCTAATAGTTAGCTGATTGAAGTTTGATCATTCTATAGATATGTATACATTTTAAACAAGCTAAATATGGCTGATGTAGCCTACATGTGAAAAATGTCAATCACGTTTGATGTTATGGCTGATAAATAGCTGATATTAAAATCTATACTTTTTTGGTCTAATCATAAAAATAAAAGACACCAAAAACTTAAATGTACAGTTTTTGTGAATGTCAAAGCAATGTTTGGCTGCTTAGACAACATTATGTACAGTATAAAATATGGATAACTGTTCATTTTGAGATGAATTATTGTTTGAGTAGTTGAGATTTTAAAAGTCTTAACATTGGAGACCTCTAACTATTTTAATAATATTGAAGTTTTGCTTTTTTGTGTTATAGATTTGTTTGTAATGGACACAATATGATGGATGTCCAGAATCAGTTTACCTTACAGTAGCCACACATTCCCGTTCTCAAATATTTAGTATTTGTATATAAAAGTGCTCCATCATTTTGCACAATTGGAGAAGCAAGATATAAAAGGGTAAAATGAAATTAAACACTTTTTAATAAATGTTCAATCATTTCAACTTATATTTTTTTTCGAGAACTTAAAGCAGTGAGAAATATATACATTTTTACGTCATTTCCTCTAAGAGAAATCAGTAAGGTTAACATAACAGAAAACAGTGCACTATATGTACCTGGATTCGATCATCATGTCATCATTTGTGACCTGTTGTCCATCTTGAGTCTGGGGAATGCTTGCAAATCATTCTAGATTCACATCAAGTCCCTTCTTAACCATTCTGGCAACTCTTAAAATCCAGGATGGTACTTTTCGCTATTGCTATTTTTGAAGTGGTCAATACTGTGATTTCATGTGGGTTACCGACGGTTAGTGGATGCTTCAAAGATGTATCAAGGTGATTCATCAGACAAGCTTAACCCCTAAATTTAGCTTGTAATGTCACTCTTAATCAGACACTCTCTATTGTTTACTTTATTTTGTATTGGGACTGTATATCCAACGTATCTAAATATCTGTTTTATAGACAGGAGCTTGTTATATTTAGAAAACAGTGATGCAATGTTCATGCATACAGTAACACTGAACTATGAATCATAATATAAAACCATATACAACTGAGCAATGATGTTTACATAAAAATACAAGCGTATGTAAACAAACATCCCTCTTCATATCCTGTAAAACATTCTCACACTATACTGTACAGCCATTCACCCGTTCAACAAGATGTACGTACTGAAGATATATGTGTATTATACTGTACAAAGATACTCAGAATTGTATTGCATGAATGTACATATCAATATTTGCCTTCTTGACAGTCTATCGTGTGTACAGAGTAAGAGAAAATGTTTATAGGGATAAGTATAAATCGATGTGTCGTCAGAACAGAACAAGTGTCATTGTTTGTCTGGAAAAAGCCATTAATGTATATTTGAGTAATCAGAGGTTGTTGCACAATGTATGCATCACATACCAAAATGTAAAACAATTATATATTGTGCATTGAACTAATTTAATTGCAACTTGCTGACTTTTTTTAGTTTTAAATAAAATTGTACTACTGAATCGTATCTCGTGCTTATTTGCCTGCAGAAATAATTTGGTCTCTTAATTGGTCTGTCATAATTTAAACTTGAAGAATAATTCCATAATGAAAATAGCAGATGTACTATATAATATGTAAACCGTGTATGTGTCACAGTCCTCCGTCTGCACCAGTCTGTCTTGTCTTCAGCACTACACTTCCCAGGATCCTCTCGTCACCCTATCCCGTGTTCACTCCCTCATCAGCCACCTGTTCCTCGTCATCATCATCTGTTTCACCTGTTCTCACCCCATTATGTTTGATTAGTCTGTGTATTTAGTTCCCTTTGTGTTACTCTATGATTGTCGGTCGATGTTGAATGTTACCTCTGTGAAACCCCGTCCTCCTGCCTGTATGTGGAAAATAAATACGTTTCTTTGGTTATCTGGATTCCTCCCGCTCATTCTGTCTGCACTCCTGTTCTCCTGCACCATACCCCGTGACAGATCGACCGACCTCTAAAGAAAGCCGAGCATTATGGACCTTCCAGCGGTACGCCTCCTCTGTCTGCACCAGGAAGACCGCTCCCTGGAGTCCCATACCAGGGACTTTCTGGAGTTGGCGTGCCTCACTCACTATTCGGACCAATCGCTGTGTGTTTTCTACATCGCCGGCCTCAGCGAGCGGTCCCGGGCACGCCTCCCAGGGAGCGGTCCAGAAGATAATTTCCTCGCCTGTGTGGAGTGGGTGCGGGTGTGCTGTGGATCCCCATTCTCCGTGGGGAAGTCACCAGCACCACTCCAAAACCTGAGCCCTCATCTTCACTGCTCACCGTCAGCCCTGCCGAGCCTGCGCTCACCGTCAGCCCTGCCGAGCCTGCGCTCACCGTCAGCCCTGCCGAGCCTGCGCTCACCGACAGCCCTGCCGAGCCTGCGCTCACCGTCAGCCCTGCCGAGCCTGCGCTCACCGACAGCCCTGCCGAGCCTGCGCTCACAGTCAGCCCTGCCGAGCCTGCGCTCACAGTCAGCCCTGCCGAGCCCGAGTCTTCACCGCTGGTTCCGTCCAGCTCTCCAGAGATTGAATGCTCTTCACCGCTGGTTCCGTCCAGCTCTTCAGAGACTAAATGCTCTTCCCCGCTGGTTCCGTCCAGCTCTCCAGAGATTGAATGCTCTTCACCGCTGGTTCCGTCCAGCTCTCCAGAGATTGAATGCTCTTCACCGCTGGTTCCGTCCAGCTCTCCAGAGATTGAATGCTCTTCGCCGCTGGTTCCGTCCAGCTCTCCAGAGATTGATTGCTCTTCACCGCTGGTTCCGTCCAGCTCTCCAGAGTTTGAATGCTCTTCCCGCTGGTTCCGCCCAGCTCTCCAGAGATTGTATGCTCTTCACCGCTGGTTCCGTCCAGCCATCCAGAGACTGTATGCTCGTCACTGCTGGTTCCGTCCAGCTCTCCAGAGACTAAATGTTCTTCACCGCTGGTTCCGTCCAGCTCTCCAGAGATTGAATGCTCTTCACCGCTGGTTCCGTCCAGCTCTCCAGAGTTTGAATGCTCTTCCCCGCTGGTTCCGTCCAGCTCTCCAGAGATTGTATGCTCTTCACCGCTGGTTCCGTCCAGCTCTCCAGAGACTTTATGTTCGTCACTGCTGGTTCCGTCCAGCTCACCAGAGAATGAATGCTCTTCACTGCTGGTTCCGTCCAGATCACCAGAGAATGAATGCTCTTCACTGCTGGTTCCGTCCAGCCCACCAGAGACTGAATGCTCTTCACTGCTGGTTCCGTCCAGCTCACCAGAGACTGAATGCTCTTCACTGCTGGTACCGTCCAGCTCACCAGAGAATGAATGCTCTTCACTGCTGGTTCCGTCCAGATCACCAGAGAATGAATGCTCTTCACTGCTGGTTCCGTCCAGCCCACCAGAGACTGAATGCCCTTCACTGCTGGTTCCGTCCAGCTCACCAGAGAATGCATGCTCTTCACTGCTGGTTCCGTCCCACTCACCAGAGAATGAATGCTCTTCACTGCTGGTTCCGTCCCACTCACCAGAGAATGAATGCTCTTCACTGCTGGTTCCGTCCAGCCCTCCAGAGACAGTATGCTCTTCACTGCTGGTTCCGTCCAGCCCTCTAAAGACTGTATGCTCTTCACTGCTGGTTCCGTCCAGCCCTCCAGAGACAGTATGCTCTTCACTGCTGGTTCCGTCCAGCCCTCTAAAGACTGTATGCTCTTCACTGCTGGTTCCGTCCAGCCCTCCAGAGAATGAATGCTCTTCACTGCTGGTTCCGTCCCACTCACCAGAGAATGAATGCTCGTCACTGCTGGTTTCGCCCAACCCTCCAGAGAATGAATGCTCTTCACTGCTGGTTCCGTCCCTCTCACCAGAGAATGAATGCTCTTCACTGCTGGTTCCGCCCAGCCCTCCAGAGAATGAATGCTCTTCACTGCTGGTTCCGTCCCACTCACCAGAGAATGAATGCTCTTCACTGCTGGTTCCGTCCCACTCACCAGAGAATGAATGCTCTTCACTGCTGGTTCCGTCCAGCCCTCCAAAGACAGTATGCTCTTCACTGCTGGTTCCGTCCAGCCCTCTAAAGACTGTATGCTCTTCACTGCTGGTTCCGTCCAGCCCTCCAGAGAATGAATGCTCTTCACTGCTGGTTCCGTCCCACTCACCAGAGAATGAATGCTCGTCACTGCTGGTTTCGCCCAACCCTCCAGAGAATGAATGCTCTTCACTGCTGGTTCCGTCCCTCTCACCAGAGAATGAATGCTCTTCACTGCTGGTTCCGTCCAGCCCTCCAGAGACAGTATGCTCTTCACTGCTGGTTCCGTCCCACTCACCAGAGAATGAATGCTCGTCACTGCTGGTTTCGCCCAACCCTCCAGAGAATGAATGCTCTTCACTGCTGGTTCCGTCCACTCACCAGAGAATGAATGCTCTTCACTGCTGGTTCCGTCCAGCCCTCTAAAGACTGTATGCTCTTCACTGCTGGTTCCGTCCAGCCCTCCAGAGAATGAATGCTCTTCACTGCTGGTTCCATCCAGCTCTCCAGAGACTGAATGCTCTTCACTGCTGGTTCCGTCCAGCCATCCAGAGACTGAACGCTCTTCACTGCTGGTTCCGTCCAGCTCTCCAGAGACCGAATGCTCTTCACTGCTGGTTCCGTCCAGCCATCCAGAGACTGAACGCTCTTCACTACTGATTCCGTCCAGCCATCCAGAGACTGAATGCTCTTCACTGCTGGTTCCGTCCAGCTCTCCAGAGACTGTATGCTCAGCACTGCTGGTTCCGTCCAGCCATCCAGAGACTGAACGCTCTTCACTGCTGGTTCCGTCCAGCCATCCAGAGACTGTATGCTCATCACTGCTGGTTCCGCCCAGCCCTCCAGAGACTGAACGCTCGTCACTGCTGGTTCCGTCCAGTTCCTCCGAGCCCGAGCTCTCTTCTTCGCTGGGCCCGACCAGCCCAGCCCCAGAGACCGTCCAGCCAGCGCCAGAGACCGCTCAGCCTGCTCCGCCCTGGCCACGCCCTCAGTCTGCTCCGCCCTGGCCACGCCCTCAGCCTGCTTCGCCCTGGTCTCGCCCTCAGCCTGCTTCGCCCTGGCCACGCCATCAGCCTGCTCCGCCCTGGCCATGCCCTCAGCCTGTTCCGCCCTGGCCACGCCCTCAGCCTGCTCCGCCCTGGCCACACCCTCAGCCTGCTTCGCCCTGGTCTCGCCCTCAGCCTGTTCCGCCCTGGCCACGCCCTCAGCCTGCTCCGCCCTGGCCACACCCTCAGTCTGCTCCGCCCTGGCCACGCCCTCAGCCTGTTCCGCCCTGGCCACGCCCTCAGCCTGCTCCGCCCTGGCCACGTCCTCGGCCTGCTCCGCCCTGGCCACGCCCTCAGCCTGCTCCGCCCTGGCCACGTCCTCAGCCTGCTCCGCCCTGGCCACGCCCTCAGCCTGCTCCGCCCTGGCCACGCCCCTCTCAGGCCCCAGTTCGTCCCCCCTCCTTCCTCTGTTCCACGGCGTGAGGTCACGCCTCCCGGGAGGGGGGAGTTCTGTCACAGTCCTCCGTCTGCACCAGTCTGTCTTGTCTTCAGCACTACACTTCCCAGGATCCTCTCGTCACCCTATCCCGTGTTCACTCCCTCATCAGCCACCTGTTCCTCGTCATCATCATCTGTTTCACCTGTTCTCACCCCATTATGTTTGATTAGTCTGTGTATTTAGTTCCCTTTGTGTTACTCTATGATTGTCGGTCGATGTTGAATGTTACCTCTGTGAAACCCCGTCCTCCTGCCTGTATGTGGAAAATAAATACGTTTCTTTGGTTATCTGGATTCCTCCCGCTCATTCTGTCTGCACTCCTGTTCTCCTGCACCATACCCCGTGACAGTATGCTTATCAAAATATGATTTTATTACACTGTTGATGCCTGATATCTGTCAACCTTGGAACGCTTTGTGGTTTTATGTAGTGGATAATTATATTACGTTAATTGCTATCTGAGATATAATTATATAAATATTGTCCTAAAAATATCCTATACCTAGCAACAACAAGGCCTTGTGGGACTCTATAAAAGATTTCTCTCACACGCATATAAAATGTTTTCTTTTATTCTTCTATTCTATTTTAGTTCTTTTACAAAAGTGTATAATATTTGTTTTTCATTTTATTCAAATTAAAGTTTAGCCAAGACAGTAAATCATCCATGTCAGGCAAGGGTGAATCCGTTGATGGAGTTAAATGAGAGAAATTGGGGAGAAAATGTTGTGTGCTCACCTGTCTGCTGACACACCTTGCTTGACAAGTCATTTAGAAAAGTGGAAGATGTCTTTTCAATAAGAACCGTCCACAGTGTAAATATATTTTCTCTGTGCTGCCAGATAAATTACCCCAAGTGTGGATAAGGATGATAAATTGCTTAGAGAACCTGAAGGTCGAGTCTGCTGTCTGTCAGTTTCATGTGAAAAAGCTCATGCTTTACAATGTTTACTCTGTCAATTAGTTAGGCACCAGTGCGGCTCCGCGTCAGTCAAAGTTATTTGTCAGCGGCTTCATATTATTCA